GTTAACCATATGGCTCTAACGACCAGTATATGACCCCCTGGGCCTTCCGTGGGCTGCACCCAGGCAGAGCTCCCAGCCGTATGCTTTGCATGGTGCCTGCTGTTCCCAGAGCCTGTCACTCTTCACAGTTTTGTTTCTCAGTCTCAGGGGGGCCAAGATGCTTTTGCACAAAAAAGCCCCATGAATTTGACTGCACCCACCCAAGCCAGTCACATGCCATGTCTCCATACCCAGCATGCTGTTGTTGGGCCCTGGTGTTTAAGAGGTCAGAAGTATAGCGTCCTCTCGATAGGAGCACACTGGGCATGATGCTGCTGCTGAGTGCTTCATTCAATGGATGAGAGGATTCATGGCTTTTCTACCTCTGTGTATTATCCATCCTAGCCAGCACTGCTTTTTCCATGAGAAACTATGTAAGGGAAGCTAGAGTTGGCCAGAAATGGTTGTGATAGTAGCATGCAGGTTGGGTGGATTAGTCTCAAGTATGCCTTTATTTTTTTCTTTCACTTTTTATCAATCCTGAGGCTTAATACAAGCCTAATTTGAGTAAAACTGGTGATTATACAGTCATCACTATGATTGTGTGTGGTAACGGACACGTGCATTGGAGTCATGATCTTCATGGCACCAAGGGATTGAAAAAGAGCATATCAGCATCCCCTGAGAACTAGTTGGAAATGTAGGTTCCAAGGACCACCCCTGCCCCACTGAGTGAGAAACTCTAGGGTACCCTTCTGTGTTTCTGGGAGTCTTCTGGTATTCAAGATTTGTACTCTGGTCTTGAGAGCCACTGCTGTAGAGCATCACTGGTCCAATAGAACATTCTGTGGTAGAAATGGGGAGGATGGGAGCCATTGAGCAAATGGGATTGATTGTCCAGATCTTCAGGTTGGAACAGTGTGACCAATGAAATCAGCAATTATATTAGTTGCTTTTGCATTACTGTGACCAAAGTACCTGATAAAAAGAACTTAGCGATGAAACATTTATTTGGTTTATGTTTCTGTACTCTGAAAACAGACTCTGAGCTTAATGTCTGGTATGACAGGACTGGAAAGGGTGGTGGGGTCCTCTTGTTGGAACACAGTGTGACCTTTGGGAGCCTCGAGGTGCCTGAAAATGATTAGTACCTTTCTCCCAAATTGAGCAACTGAATTCTCAAAATTGAAGGAGCTGTCATTGACAAGACAAAAAAAAGCTAGTAAATTCTTTGTCATAAGCAAAGTTCTACATGACTGAGCATCCTAATTGGGGACACCATTGTTGCATTATTTAAATCTATTATCATTGGTTTTCACAACCCATCTTTTCTTAGACTCATAAAATATTAAAAGCAGGTAGAAGAGATTTAGAATGACTATAAATTCAGATTTCTCCTTTTATACTTGAGGAAATTGAGGCCTAGAGAGGTTGTGAATTAAATAAGGAGAAATATAATAAGGACAAGGTCTGAGTCAGCCCTAGGCTCCTCTGTCGCTTGTATGAGATCAGCTCTGTGTTGTCTATAGACCATGCTGGTGCAGCTGGGCCATTCGTGCTGCCTGCTGGATGGAGAAGAGATGTTTCAGAGTCATAATAAAAGATACATTGATCCATGCTATTCAGTTGCATTTTCTTTTAAAATCTTTAATTCCACTTATTTATTTATTTATTTATTTATTTATTTATTTATTTTTGTGTGCCTGTGTTTCTGTGGGTATGTACACACCATGGTATATATACAGAGGTAAGATGACAACTTACAGGAGTTGGTTTTCTCTTGCCACCATGTGGGTCCCAGGATGGAACGCAGGTTCCCAGCCTCGGCAGCAAGCCCCTTTACTCACTGATCCATCTTGCTGGCTCCTTTAATTATATTTTCAAATGCTTCATTTGCTAATGTGTCCTACAAACACCTTGAAAAGTTCCAGGAGAGAATTTAGGTGAAATTTTGTATTTGCCTTTTCATAATAGTTGGAATTGTTTGTGCCATGTACATACATGATTTATTCACCACAGGCTTTGTGGTGCTGACCCTGTTATTTGTCATGGTTTTGTTGGGATTAGCTGGCTTTCCAACATTGGCCCTGTTTGCATTTAGACTATGATAACCCTTCTTTTGTAACTTACTTTCTTTGACTAGCATAGCATGACCACCTTACTTTATCTGAAAAGCATTCCATTCCAGACATGAGGCGCATGGGGCCTGTACATGATGGGCGTTTTCTGAATATTGGTTGGAGGCATGGTCTCCCGTTCAGACAAGTCTGCATGTTATCCTTTTTTGATTTTTTTTTTTTTACCATGCTGGTGAAAAAATTCTGTATTTTAGGCGTGGATATTAGCTATGCATTTTTCTTCCCTTCCAGCGTGAATGGAGTCTTAACACAGCAAATTCACATGCACACCAAAAGATTGGGAGAGGTTTGGTAAATTGAATGTGGGATTATTATTTCTGTCCACAAAACAAAGTCCTAAATCACATTTAGCATAATTGGTGGTTTTAAATTGGGTTGATTTAGCAAGGAGAGTGAAATAATCTCTCATCCTGTCAAAGAGGCGATACCTTTAGACCAACATTTAATTGCACTGGCAGAGTAAGTTTGGGGAGGCGGCAGTAATTCTGGCCACATTATTCTTGGTTTGTGGCTAAATTGAGATCATCATTTTCTCTGGGTTTCACTAACTTTCCTTATTGCTCTTCAAGCTAATCAGATCATTGTGGTGGGAGGAGACCTGGTGGTCGCTGGAGGGTGGACCAGGGGAAAGTGTTAGGGCTCTGGCAGTGGCATTTCACCACTGGTCTGTGGAGGGAACCGATGACCCGAAGGTCCAATCTGATGATTCTCTGGGTAATTGCTTGTATAAAATGAACATCATTCATTTGCACAGAAGTGTTCACACCCAAAATGTGCTTTTTGCAGCCATGCTGTGCAAGTTAGGTTCTGAGCATTTGTATCTAAGAGTCATTTGAACTTTTTTTTCCCAGCTGCCTAGGCTCCTCGATAAAAATTGGTCCCTTTCCCTCTAGCCACTTCAGGAGTTAATACAAGTCCCGATGAGGGGACCACAACTGCCTGCCCATGGCATAGTCCACACCATGTTTTGTTCTTCACAGTCTCTCCATCCAGTAAAGCATTTCCTTTATGATGCCCCAAACATTCCCTGTTAAAGAAATTAGGTCCTGAATACCTTGGGTATTTCTTAGTGTTGAAAATGATGATTCAAAGCTGAAACGCACAGTGCACCTGTCCTCTCCCTGTGCCGTCCTGGGAGCAGCCAGCTGGTGTTCTTGGAACCAATATTTCTTTCCCTATTTCAGATGCATGCCTGGGACTTTCATTCACCTTTTCAAGGGTCCTAAGCACAGGTGCTCCTGCCTCTGAGCTTAGGTTTGACCCAGAGACAGGCAGGCAGGCAGGCTGGCTAGTGAGGTGACTTTCCCAGGCTTCTGTGTGGAAGGGAAGGAGGAAGCTGGTGGGATGGGAAGCAAACACTGTTGACATCGGGCATGACCCACTTGCTTATGCTGGATTCAAGGCCATGTCAGTGCTTTTAGTGACCTGAATAGTTTTAGATTTAGAGTTCACATGAATCATGGATGAGCTCCATAGCACACGTGTCATTGCAGAAAAATTAAATAGCAAGTAGGATAGGCCAATTACAGTTTGTTGAAAATTGTTACTGTTTTTGCTGCCAATTTAGAGTGAGGCAGTTTTCTCCCATTGTTGTTTGGGGTTGATCACAGGAGCCCGTGGCTAACAAAATCCAGGGATGCTCAAGTCCCTAATATAAAGTGCAGGGCTGCTCAAATCCTTTATATAAAACGGCTTAGTACCGGCGTATCACCCATGATATCCTCCATATACTTTAAATCATTGCTAGATTACTTATAGTATCCAAAGCAATGCAAGTGCTTTGTAAATAGTTGCACTGTATTGTTTAGGAAATAATAACAAGAAAAAGTTGGTGTAAGTTCTCTATAGGTAAGTTTTTTCCCTAAGTATTTTTGATCACAATTGATTGAATCCTGGATTCGACTCGGTAATAAGGAAATCAGAGCTATATGTGAGTTAAATGGTTATGTTGGAGTTCCATTTCATTTTCATTAGAAAGGAAAGGTGCTGTTTGTGTCTCTTACACTCTGAATTCACACTCAACATTTTTGTTCCCTGTGCCCCCCAAAGTAGCAGATACTGCAGGCTGACTATTCTTTTGAGGTAAGAATACATTTGGCTTTGAATTTAGTATTCTCAGGCATAGAATATCGGTAAGGAAGACTGTTCCAGTGTGCCTTTTGGGTCATCTTCACCTGTGATCTGTGTCCATAGCATGCTATTGGATTGGCTCTTTGAATTTCTGCATAAGAAGAATGTATTGATCAGTTGCTAGTCTGACTTTGTGTGTGTGTGTGTGTGTGTGTGTGTGTGTGTGTGTGTGTCTATGTGTGTTGATCAAAGTAAATTACTCAGAGGACAAAATCAGAAACTAGGTACTGTGACTATTTTATGTTCAGGTTGAACTTAAACTGTGATTGAATGGATTGTTAAAGAGGACTACTCTTCAGTTACAGGGTTATTTAAAAGCCTGAATGGACCCTCAGGAAAGGACCTGGGTTAGTTGTCATCTTCTGGAGGTGCCAGGAAACCCAAAGGAAGAAAATGATTGTAGCTGTTAGACTTGTGGCCATGAAAAGTGTGCTCAGTGTTGCTGTTTACTTAGAGGCTGTTGATGGCATAGGAATTCATTTTATTCCTTTATTTCTCCTTCCATCCTTACTGTCCAGCAGAAGCAAGCCATGCTGGGTAATTTTATCTAATGCTTTAAAAAGAAACATTTCCACTTCCACTTGATTGTGAGCTATCACCTAAGAAAATAAATAAACCTGCCAAATATAAATCAGACCGGTGTGTGAATTTGATGATCACCTTGGCATTTATTCTCCCTTTCATTTGAAAGGAAAGTGTGTTGATGCTGTCCTTTGCACCCTGCATTCACACTTGACATCTTTATTCCTACAGCTGTGCCCCCAAACGTAGCCGAACTGAAGAACTTGGAAGTGCTTAACTTCTTCAATAACCAGATTGAAGAGTTGCCCACCCAGATCAGCAGCCTGCAGAAACTCAAACACCTAAACCTTGGGTGAGCATTGGACAAGGGTGAAGGAAATGACTGCTGGGCAGAGGGTTGGAGGAAGTGCAGGGTGTGGGCAAGCGACGCACACTATTTGTATTTTTGGTGCACAAGAGAAGTGGGTTTCTAATTTCTTTTTATGTTTTGGGTTTTAAAAGGTTTACTGTTTTAATATGTCCTTTCAGTGGTCTCTGTTAGTGCTTATCTATTTGAGAACTAATTGAGGAGCTAATTGTTGGCACAATCAGGAGAGCTTTTTTCCCCACAGTATTTTGTTTCTAATAAAATTTTATTTCAGTTATGTTGACCATGAAGGCACTTACTTGCGTAGCATTAGCTGTTCAGATAAACTGTAATATGCCTCGATGTTTCCCCTCTGTGTATTAAGTAGAAACAGTCCATAGACAGCTTCCTGCCTTGAAGCAGCTCTTCCTGCTGCTTCATGAGTTCTTGCCGTTCTTCTGTTCCAGGAGCGTGGAAAGCTCTGCCTTTATGCCAGGGTGAGAGGGGAGTTGATTCCACTGAGGTTGCAGAACCGAGCAGCAGGTAGTGAGGGCTAATACTGACACCTTGTATTCCTCTATTGCTCTGCAGGTTTCAGAGGCCTCGTGCCAGCACTGAGCCCGTCTATACTTGGGAGGTGGAGAGAGCAGGCTGTAGTGATTTCTTTTCACAGAGAGACAGCCAAACTTCCCAAGGGGGTTAAGCAGCTTGCTCCTGATTGTCTCAGTTTGATGGCTGAGTAAAGGGGATCCCCCCCCCACCGCCATTGATCAGACCCCACATATACCCAGCGGAACTTTGGCTTTTGAATTCCATCTTAGATGGAATTATAGGATGAAATTGCCTGTTCATGTTTCATTTTTTCTATGCAAAGTAATAAATTCATTAAACTGTAGCCATTAGATGTGGCAGTTAGGTTAGTGAACTATGTGGCATGAGAAGCTGGTTCTTATCCATTCCATAGGAAGTTCATGAAATGATTGTTAGTCTATTCTTTCAGTGGGGGGAGTTTAGTTGGACATTTTTGTTTTGAAGTTCACTCTGAGCCGGTCATGGTGCTATACATCTTTAATCCCAGTACTCAGGAGGCAGAGGCAGGTGGATATCTGTGAGATCAAGGCCAGCCTGGTCTATATAGGAAGTTCCAGGTCAGCTAGGGCTACAGGGAGAACCTGTCTCAAAAATAAACAAAAAAAGCTGTATTTGAAGCTTACTCTGGCTAAAAGAACTAGCCCAAGAGCTATGTGCATCTGCCCTTAATTGCGAGAGTCGGTAGAGTTGAGAGGAGGGCGTAATGTTACTTTACAGGAGAATGTTCTCCTTTGTTTAATGTTGAACTGGACTTTTTCCTCTCTGCAAAACAGAAAAGGAAAGATCATACATTTAGTTCTTGATTTGGGGTATCAGTAAGTTCTGGAGCTGAGGCGATGACTCAGTGGATAAAAGTGCTTGCTGTGAAAGCTAGAGGACCTGAGTTCAGAACCCCAGTACCCATGTAGAGGCCGAGCATAGTCACACGTGCCTGTAATCTCAGCATTGGAGGAGGAAAGACAGGTGACTCTGGAAGCTTGCTGGCCACTCAGCATAGCCAAAATGGCAAGTTTAAGGTTTAATAAGATGTCTCAAAAAATAAGGGGTAGAGTAGTTGAGGACGACACCCAGTGTCTCCCTCTGACCTGCACACATAGGTACATAAACCCACACAGGCACACATGCACATATATCGCACAACATATACAAACACACACACATGATTAAGTCCTATGGTAAATTAGTATGCAAATAGCTAAAACTAGATGGATATTTGTTTACAGTTAGCTAGTCATACAGTTATTTGTATGTGTATATATAATATATAACAATATTATAAGGATATTATTTGTATATGTGTATATAATATATAACATATTAATATTATAATGATATGTTTGAACCATATATCATTAGGAACACCGACTGGTACATGTTTAGCAGGACACATTAGGGATTATTGTCATTGTGTTTCATTTATTCTTAATTTCTTGACTGTGTAGATGCTTATTCTTGTCAGTATGGCTGATAGGGGATCCGAGGTACATATCACAGTGTGGGCCTTAACTTGAAGTCAGAGCCTACTGTAAATGATCACAGTGCGGTTGCAGTTCTGTTGGGGCTGGTGGAAGAGAGGAGAGAGCACATTCGCCTGTAGGTGAGGTTCTCACTTGCTAGTGAAAGGATGGTATCTCAGGTGAGAGAGTGACACGTTACAAGGCTCAGAACAGTGCAAGTTCTGGGTGTTTTACTGAAAGTTCATTGGTGTGACTGGATTAAAGTGTGAAGTAGGCAATATTCAGGTGAGTCAGATGTCTAGTTGTGAATGCCTGCTTCTAACCTAATGCCTGCTGTTGGGGTCCCAGCAGGTACCAGATGCCATTCTAAGTACTGGGTCATCCAGCCTTCATGGAGTTCACATTACAGTTGGAGAAACCAGTTGCAAACCAATAGATGCAGCGATGTCGGGGACTGAGGGTGCTAGCAAAGGGCCTGATGATTAAATAGTAGAGTGCTGATTATAGATTTTGTCCTAAAGATGGTTGAGGAATTTTTCCAGCAGATGAGATCAGAGTTTTGTATGAAAGCTCAGTGTGGGGAGGGTTGAAAGGAGTTGGACTAGAGGTCAAGAGGCCAATGAGGATGCATTTTGTTTTCGTAGGTCTAGATTAGTGACAGTGGAGGCAGAGGAGGGATTTAACTTGGAAAATACATAGAAGGAAGCATGACCAAGATAGTTATGGAAGGGATGGGATGTTGCCTAGATTTATGGCTGGGCAGCTAAAATGGAATTCGAGATGGAGAGAAGTTTGGGAAGACGAGCTCAGGCTTGGTTCAGTTGAGTTTGAGTTAGACTAGGACAAAATGGTTGACTTGGTGAATATGTTTTCATTACACACTTGTTCCATTTGGAGTTGTTTGTATTGTTGGTTCTCAGTTTATTGAGCATGCAAAACCTGTGTTTAATGACATAGCTCCATAGTTGGGGTTGCTGTTTCAACAAAACTTTAAGTTCATTGGAAAAGGAATTAAGACACGTTTCAGTAAAGAACTTTCTGTTCATAAATGGCATAAAGATTTTTTCACGCACATTAAAGCATGGGATGGCATGCTGTAGAGGCTGCTTAGTGCAAGCGGCAGAACAGAAGCACACACTTGGGAGACCGTTAGCAGAGCCACTAGGGCCCGTGCATTCACAGTCCGAAAGGTACACTCAGCCAGAGTTTCCTTTTAAAGTTATGTGATTTACTGTTTATTACAATGGCTGGAGGGCCTGAAAGAGTTTTTGGCGATCTGCATAAAAGGAAGTTCTGATATGTTCAGTTTTGGAGTATGATTCATCATGTATTCTACATGAATTATGAGCTATGGAGGGAGGTTCCATGTTGACACAGTCATAGTGTCTAGGATAACGTCACTATAGAGCACCACGTGGTGCCCAACTACTCTGAATTAGTTTGTTGCTAGAATTTATCTCCTGAACACTTGGTAGCTGGTGGACCAAATAAAAGAAGCACATGGATGTGCTTCACAAACCGAATTCCTGGGAATTCATGATCGTCAGGGATGTTCTTTTGCCTGGTGTGAAGGCCGCCTCGGACTTGTACTGACAGATGTAAATCTACCTTCCTCTTTTGGGTTCCCTTTTGCTCAGTCATTTCTATTGAGGCCTGGTTGGTAGAGCCATACCGGATTGTGTCTGTTGTTAGAATGATCAGAGTCAGTGCCAGTCTCTCCTCCCTTTCAGTGTCTGGGAGCTTGTATTGTAGTATTTTTAACTGGCTTTTAAGTTTTCTCAAAGAGAGCTACATTAAGAAAAATAAGGGTCTTGAAGGATTAAAAATAATATCAAAAATTTCCATATATATATGTCTGTATCATAAAATCTTAATGGTTCTGTAGTATATAATTCAGTTGCGGTAAGCATTTTCACATTGCTGTTTTCCTGAATTTTCAGCCAGTTTCCTGAATATTCTCATATTGTAAACCTGAGACAGCTCATTGCCCTCCCCCTCCCCCAGGCCCTGGCAATTACCATTCTAATTAGAGATAATTATGTGTATTAGTATATAATTGTAGAATAGAAAATTGATTTTTCCTCCCGTTAAAATGAATAAATAAATAAACAAAGCAAAAAGTTCCCAAATTGCAATGCATCTTCTACGTTTGGAAGGAAATTTTTCTTCAGGCAGGTGTTTTGTATGTTTGTATGAAAAGTGGTATTTGAATTTCCCTAGTGGAAGAAATGGCAACTAAAAATTTTCTTACGATTCACAAGCACAGGCTCTCCGAGTAGAAGTATTGGACTAAGGCAAACACTCCTCTATGTGAGGCATAAAAAGTAGAAGTCACCAGGCCAGTAAAGCACTGGGTGCTGGAAGCGGTGGGTTATACACCATGGTGATGATAATATTTGATCTGTTTGAAAATTGCCAAGAGAGTAGGTTTGTGTGTATTTGCACATCTGTTTTCTTACCACACACATAAGATGCGTGTGAAGTGAGGCACATGTTAGAGAGCTTGATTTGGGTGCTTCTCCCGGTGCATACATCTTCCAAATCATCCGTTGTATGCTGTCAGTTGTTTTCTTGTCACTCACTTACATAGATGGAATTAAATACCAACCAAATAACATATAATTAATGCAGAATCATGGCATTCTTTAGAGTTTTTGGCCCATTAAACCGGGCCCACACTGTTAGGTTTTCAGTATTGTATGTGAATACGTGCTCTGTGTGGTGACTTGTGCCTTCTGTCCTCAAACCACAGCATGAACAGGCTGAACACACTGCCTCGAGGATTCGGCTCTCTCCCAGCTCTGGAGGTCCTGGATCTGACTTACAACAACCTGAATGAGCATTCTCTTCCTGGAAACTTCTTCTACCTTAGTAGGAAACTTTTAGTTCTATAAATCTCCGTAACATGGTACTTTGTGTTCTAAGAGTGAAAATTTATTTGTCAGTGCCCAAACTCTTAAGAGAAATTATTAGATATATATGGTTTTTTCTGCACAGAGTCCTTACTCAGTAGTATTTGTATTTGATATTTAGTTACCTGACACCACTGTGCAGAAGTAGACTTGGCAATGTCATATTAACTTTCCAACAGAGATTTTGTACCTAAATGAGATCAAGTTTCACATTTAGCTAAGAAATTTAATTTTCTTTTTGACGTGTGTGCCAAAGAAAAAAGAGAAGAAAAAGTTTTCCCCTATTGCTAATTCTTTGAAGCATATTGCTCAAAGACACTCCAAACAGTTTATAAAAGGACCCATTAATTAGCTGCTAACAGAATTTTTAAAATTTCTACTCAAGACTTGTTTTGTTTTTTTCCTTTAAAAGAACTCTTATTGCGTCGAAAGGACTGCTTTATCTAGCGAACTAATGTTGAGAACTTTCTCATCATAGATGATTATACTTTTAACTTCTCTTAAGTTCTTTCTGTAGGTACTCTTGATAATTTGGAAAATGATTTTGCAGCAACTCATCAAATATTTAGGAAGAAGTTGCATCCTTTAAATGAGATCGTCTGCTTCTGTAAACAGTGATATCTGTGATATCTAGAAATTCTGTCTTGGTTTTTCTTATTGCTGGTGGTATTTTTAATTTTTATATTTATTTTATTATTTATTTGAAACAGGGGCTCACTATGCAGCTGCACTTGTCCTGGAACTTGTAACCTAGCTCAGCCTCGCCTCAGGCTGCACTGATCCTCCAGTGCTGGGGATACAGGTGTCTGCCACCAGGCCCAGACTAGAAAATCTAACACTTCTGATGTAGCCTCTACAATTTCATTTTTTAACCTCACATTCACTGCCTCTGCCAGACTTTCTCAAGCACATGAAACCAACTATAAAATATTTTCTTGGGCCAAGGAGGAAATTATCTTTGTTCTATACATTGACATAATTTGTCAAAATTCCAAGTGTTAGAATGTAATTAGGTACCTGTTAAACAAATATTTTAAGTACATCTAATGTTACTGGGTTTTTTGCTGATAGATGATCTAGGATTTTTGCTTTGGGTAGCTGGGATCATCTCATCATTTTTGTGTCTGTGAACAAAGTGACTGCTGATGTTCTGCTTACCTTCTTGACCCCCTACCCATCAGTTTAGCCCCCTTGTCATCATGTGTTTCTGTCATTAATGTGATGGAAGCAAGTAGCAGCACTAGTCCGATTATGGAAGAGGTAAGCTTTGATGATGACGATGGTGTCATCCCTGGAAAGCCCTTTGTGTGTTTATTTACTCTGAGCATCATTCTCTTTACTTAAGAAAGGTCTGTTCTCATTGACAGAGCCCTTTGCTCCAGATACTGATGTAGCCAGCATGGTGGTTCTTCTTGTCCTTGAGAAGCAAATGGCATACCAAAGGTGAATCGGAAGTAGTAGAGAACGATAGCTGCCTTTTCTGAAAACGGACTGAGACTGTGTCAGGTGGTGCTCAGAGTTGTTAATTGTGTCAATCCCCTTAGATATAGATGCTTTCCTGGGCATACCAGCCACACAATCAGCCAGTAAATCTAAGTTTGACCTGCTTGTTATTATAGCGAGCCCTAGGTATGTCACAGGCTTTTCACCAAGCCAGGGTTATTAATCAAAGCTGACTCCCTTGTATTGATCAGACCTCAAATGGTCGGGTTCCATGCCACTCTGTTTATATATTGCTGTTTAATTTGCAGCCACCCTGCGTGCACTCTATCTAAGTGACAACGATTTTGAAATCCTGCCGCCAGATATTGGGAAGCTCACGAAGTTGCAGATAGTAAGTAATTTATCTAAATTCTTAGAAAATCAATTCACTTCTGCAGGCCTTGTAGAAGTGGAATCAAGTCAATTGAGCAGGAGTAGGGTTTGCTTTGCAGGAATGAACCACTGATCCTCATACTGTTTCTTGTTTAACCCCAGACACTTGTAAATGAATTGAAAAGATTGAGCCTTAGAGGAAAAGAGGGCATTGGGCGAGTTTCTATGGGGCACTCTTCTTGAAAAATTGTTTTGACAACTTCCTGTTTTTGTATATTCAGCTTAGCCTCCGGGATAATGACCTGATCTCACTGCCTAAGGAAGTTGGCGAGCTGACCCAGCTTAAGGAGCTCCACATTCAGGGGAATCGTCTGACCGTGCTGCCCCCAGAGCTAGGTAAGGTTGCTGGTGAACAGTCTTAATTCTGGGTTTAATGAATAATAAATAATCCCAATGTAGTAGGTGTGAACAATACTCCTCCTCATCTGGGCACGTTTTCCACCCAGGCACTCAATTCTGATCAAATTAGGATGATTTAACATTGGCCAGAGTTTAGGTACTATGGAATTGACTTTCAGTGATTCAATTGTGGTGGACAGGGTGTCAGAGGCTGCTGCTGAGAGATGACCCAGAGCAAGGTGGCATAGTGGGAGCAGTAGCAGTGTAGGTTAATAGTGAGTCTCATTTATAACACCTTGTGTACTAGCTGAGTACGCTTTCTGGTTTCTGATTGGGTTATTAATAACTTTTATCAAAACATTCCTCTTATGTCCGGGTTGTATTCCTCTAAATTTTTTTACCAAAAAGATAAAAGTATTTGTTAGAGCTTCCTGAAAAATGCCTTTTGCCCTGATGGATTTGGTTCTGCCCTCAGATGGTTCACCCATCTGAGTGAGAATTGTTGAATCCTTCTCATTGGAATTCTTTCTTCTCCTTCATGGTGGCTAACTCGCAGGTCTCCTTGTGGCTCCAGGGTGTCTGGCCTCCCTCTCACATAGCCTCTGAACTCCCAGATTCATTACTGAGGTAAAAGTGCCCTTCTGTGGAACTCTCATCAGTGGTAGGCATCTAGAATTCTAGCACTTGGGACATGGAGGCAGGATAGTCATGGGCCAGCCTGGGTTACATAGTGAGTCCCTTTTTCAAACAAAAGTAATACAGCGCCAAATCTCCTGAGCTCACCCCCTTTTGGTCACACACTGTATACTCTCCTTTCTGATGTCCTTTGAACCCCCTGACTTTCTTGAACTGATAATGTTTCTTAATTATTTGGTTTTCTGCACCAAAATAGCATAAAAAATGTTTTTAAG